AATGTTTCATTTTCACAAATGCTTAATCGTATTCGAAAAATTAAAAAAAAAGAAGATATGAGTAAAGAAGATCGTGATGTGCTTGATAAATGCTATCAACGTTATTTAAACACAGAATATCATCCAGAAGCATTACATCTTTTTGCTAGAAATGCTCAGGTTGATATACATAACGACGAGAAGATTAATAAAATTTGTACCAATATTCGAACATTTTATGAAGTTGATAATAATAATAAAGAAATAAAATCGAATGAAAATAAATCTACAAGAAAAATGAATAAAGTACTAAAACTTGCTAAAAATGCAAGAGTAATGATAATAAAAAATATTTGTATCAATGATGGACTGGCAAATGGTGTCACTGGTCGTATTGTAGATTTTATAGAAAATAGTAATTCACAAGTTTCTCATATAAAAATCAAATGTGATTCAAGTAAAGTTGGACGTCTACATCGAATCAGTTGTCCATTTTGTCATGAACAAGATACAATCTGTGTAACACGAGAAAGTGACACTATGGATCAACAAGATATTGATTGTCGATCAAAAAAAGGAATAAAACAATTTCCTTTACGTCTTAGCTGGGCTATGACTATACATAAAGCTCAAGGTATTACAGTTGATCAACTTGTGATTAGTACAAAAGATTTTTTTGGTAGTGGAATGGGTTATACAGCATTGTCTCGTGTTCGAACTCTTGAAGGTTTATTTCTTATCGATTTACACTTCGATAAATTTTATTCTAACGAGAATATTGATCGAGTTCTTTCTCAAATGAAAGAAATGAAACGAAAAAAATCAATATTTCAAAAATCTTCGAGTTACTTAAACATACGATATCATAATATTGAAGGATTGAAATGTAATTTTAATGCTTTTAAAAATCATCATTTAACTCAGAATGCAGATTTAATTTGCCTGACAGAGACTTGGTTAAATAATAAAAATCAAAACAATAATTTGGAAATGAATGGATATCACTTGATAAATAAACCAAGATCTTCTTCATTTTCTAAAAGTCATTTACTTCATTGCCAAAAACGTGGTGGAATTCCAATATATTATCGAGATAATATTTCTATTCAAGAAATTAATTCATGTGAACATGTAAATCTCGAACATATAACATTCGAACTTTTGAAAGAAAAAATTATTGTAATAACTTGTTATCGATCACCACAACAAAGTAAAACTGAATTTTTAACAAATCTAACTAAACATCTAAAACAAATTGGTTTAGAAAAACATATGTTTCTGATTGGTGATTTCAATGAAAATAGTCTAAGCGATAAATCAAAGCCTATTGAAAAAAAATTAAATAATTTAGGTTTCATAAACATCTATAAAAATTTACCGACTACTAATAGTTTAACTAGTCTTGATTGTATATACTGTAATTTTACATTAAATCAGGATCATCATAAAGAAATAGGACCAACATATTATAGTTTTCATGATACATTGATGTTCTCTATTAATAAAGAATGTCAAACAAATGATTCTAATAAAGAAATTGTATATAATCATCAACAAAATATGGAATTAGATAGTACACTTCCAACACTTTTACCAATTGCAAACATACCTAAAACAACATATAAACGAAAAAATAATTCAAAAGATAATACTTCAAGTAAAATAATTAAAAAGAGAATCATCTCACCAACTACTGTTACAAGCCACAATAATATAAAAGAAAGACAGATCATGTTTCTTCATAATAGAAATGATATTATTAAAAAAAATTTGCTAGAAAAATTATCAGTAACTCCATTAACATTAACAGAGCAACTTTCTTTTATTGGTTTAAAGAAGTTTAAAATATTAGGAGATGGTAATTGTTTTTCCAAGCTATTTCACATCAACTACATAGAACTCAAAGTGCTCACTCAATAATTAGATCTGAAGCAATAAAATATTTAATAGAAAATAAAAACGATTTTTCACAATTTATTGATAATACCTATGTAACAATAGATAATTATATTAAACAAATGAGCAAATATGGAACTTATGCTGATCATATAGTCATTACAGCTACTGCAGTTATTATTAATAAAAACATAATTATTCCCGAATTAGATAAAAAACGTATACTAGTTCCAGGATCAGATATTATTGATGAACAATTACATGTATGTTATGATCCTGACATATTACATTATGATAGTGTTCTTTGTATTAACAGTAACTCAGCATATCTTTCTTATCAAGACCTTTTAATTACATCATAATTCTGTTCTTTTTTTATCGTGTCTTTTTTTTTAAATGTACATTCTATTATTTGTTTTCTGTTAAAATTTATTATTTGTTTTTTTCATATTCTTTAATTTTTTTGTACTTCAATTTCCTTCATAACATATCCTGTGGTAACTGAACTTTTATCTAACTATCAAAAAAACAAAATATTAACGATAAAAAAGGTAAGCATTTTAGTACAACTTAACTGTTTGAACTAATTTTGTCATTCTATTTTTAGGTTCCTTTTTGTTCAAATGATCATTCTAATAATAAAAATCGTAAATGATTGCTTGTATCAATAATTTTTGTAAGTTTAAGTTTAAATAAAAATATATATTTATGCATATTCTTTTCATTATATACTTTTTAATTAAAAAATTCTTTTTTAGCTTAACAAATTTATTCAAAAATTCATTTAACATTAAATCAACTTTATCATTTAACATAAAAAAGTCATTAAGTAAAGTAAAATGTGATGCTTTGTTTTTATTGAACTAATTCTAATTTCAGAATACAATAGCTGAATGAATTTAACAAAAGAAAATGAAAACTACAATTGCATTAATGCCACATTAACATATTTGTTCATAAAACATTGCATTCATTAATAGTTATAATTCTATGAAAAATAAAGTAAATTAAATTCGATTAATAATAATACATTGTTTACAATGAAATATTTAAAGAACAACATAACATTTCAAAAATAAAAGTAAAATATCTGAAACTTTATATAAACTATAAAATAAAATCTGCATGTCTTTAAAAATCAATAGATCATTAGTATCAATTCATTTTTATAATATAATGTGTGGTAAATAAAAAAACTATTCTTTATTCATTTATCTAAATTGGAAATAAATTAAAAATAATCAATACGATATTTATATTAAAAAATCACAAAAACATCTTGAAATAATTTATATTGAAAATGATTCTAATTGAAAATGTGCTTTTCTAATTAATACAGATATTAATATTAAAAGGAAAAAAAATTATTTAATATGAAGAAATCAATATCGTAATCCAATATATAATCATGGTAATACTTTTTTCTGTTGGAATTTATATTCTTATTAACTTTGGTTTTTATATAGTTTGTAAATATTTGGATCTTAAAATACTTCTTATTATTCAACAAAAGACTAATAGAGTTTCAATAGCTGCTTTTTTATATGTTGTTTAAAAAAAAAAGAAAATTTTATTTAAACTTATGTAGATATTAAACAACTGACGCAACCACAAATCTTAACTATTATAATAAAGAAAAACAAATTCTATTATCGAAAATAATGGTATTCTTTTTTTTTCATAACAAAAACCGATGTCATGTTATCCAATAATCAATCCAATAAAAAAATTAATTATAATTGCTTTTTTCATTTGCATTATCAGAATGTATAAGAAAGAATCATATATGGCCACTGAGTAAAATTCTACCATTTTTCGAAAAGATAATTTATTTTTTATTAATCGAATTCAAAGTAAAAATATGTAGTTATGGTAGTATCTGTATAAATTTAATTGTTTATAAATTACCTAAAAATTGTCATCTATAAAAAACAAAACGAAACAATATAAATTGTTTTTTTTGTTGAAAATAAAAAAAAACTCATGCATCGCTGAAAAGTTCATTTTTAAGTTTATTAGAAAACAAAAATACAGCAGACTTAAAAAAAATTACTTTTATTATTAATCAGATAAATTGATGCTTAATTGTATTTTTATCTATTATTTGAATATTTTATTATATCTGTTATTATATAAGAACAAATGTAAAGAAACAATATACATACTCTATATATGTTCATGAATATCTGTTAGAATCACTTTTAAAAATACTTCTAAAGATGTTGAAAAATATATAAAAGAAAAATTAAATAAACATTGCAAATTATTTATTATTTCTTTATAACAACATTAATAATTTTATTCATCATCAACAACTGGATACAAATCAAGACATTTTTTTTGGATTCCGAATGAATCAACATTAAAATAAAAGTCATTAAAACCATAGTCAATGGCTTTTGCAGTACACACTACAGGCTTCTGTGCTATAATATCGTCGAAGTCCATAGGACAAAGCCATGTGAAACCACGTAAATTGTATTTGAAACAGCGATCAATATAAAGATCAACATCATGAATATCGTGCGTTAATTTATAACTGATGAAGGTACGTGTTGCTATTGCTTGATAAAATCCAAGAGTCTAAAATAAAAGAAAATTAATATTTATTACAAAAAAAAAATAATTAATTACAAATCAAACATTATAAGCAAGTAAATAAAATATTAACAAACGAAATTTCTCATTTAAATGCTTAGATTTTTCTACTCCATTTTTTAACAGAAAAAAAATGAAATTATTGCATTGATTGCAGAGAAAGAAAGAAAAAACATACCGATATTAACTTTGATCCATCATAGCCAACTTGAACAGAATCAATATCAAAAGTGTTTAATATAAATGAAGGATTACAGTTAGTACAACCAAAAATGAATTGCAAACGGATTTTTTGATTATGTTCAAAACATAAAACAAATTCAATCACTTTTCCATAAAAATTCTTTTCTTCTATAATATAAGCATGATTTCGTCGCCGACATCGATCGACTTGAGAAGAAAAATCTATCCATAAGTCACCAATCCAAAAAAAAATCAAGATCTTGATTTATTGAATCAAAACCATTAATTAACAGAGAACTTAAAACTGCGCCACCTAAACAATATAATACTTCTACAAGTCAAATAGACGATATTTCATATTTACCAGCTAATAAAAAAAAGGAAAAATTAATGTATTTTCTTACTAAATGAAAGCAAAATCTTTCATTTAAATTTTTTTCAATTCGAGAAATGCTAGTAACAATAATTGGATTTTGCTCCAAATTTCCAATACGTAAAGTACGAAATAATTTTTTTTCTAATTTGTTTAATGATCTATATTGATATATAAATGAATAATCAAGAAAGGTATATATAGGCATTGTAGACGCATAGAAATGTGTTGAGTATAAATATAATCGCACAAATGTTCGAAATGATTGGGTATTACAATGTCTCGTCATTTTTTCTAAATTAGATGGTAAAAAAGCAAGATAATAAAAACGAGTATATTGACGATCAGATAATCTTTGTATAAAGTAATCCGGTGAAATGGAATTAAAGTTTTGTTTTGGTAAAGGATGAGAAAAACAATATTTTCCATTTTTATACCTAAAGACAACAATTTTAATAAATAATCAATTTTAGTTTTTCTGAAATTTTTTATCAAAATAGTAAGAAAACTTTATATTTTAACTCAATTTATTTTGATAATATTATCATTCAGAATAGCAAAAGGAAATTTTAGGAAAATTATTTAATTAAAAATTTAAATATGTTACTTACGGACCAAGAGATTGCCAAAATTTTCTTTCAGAAAGTAAAGCAAACTTTGTAATACAATCAGCATAAGATAAAGCATCGGAACCATTTAAATATGAACCTATATGATCAAGTATTAGAATAGGAATGTATTTAACAAAGAATATCGTTGATGATAAACAGTCTTTGATAAAATTGTTGATTTTTTTTTCTGTTGTTTTATTGAATTTTTTTTCATTGTATATACTAAAATTGTAGATCTTAAAGAAAAATTATAATTATATCAGAAACGAAAGGTATTTTACAATAATACAAGAAACTAAATTAAACAACTTATTTAAATCGAATAATCATAAGCATCATCATTCAGCTGACACCTTTTTGTGTAATCTAAATCATATTTTAAATATTAATGCAATATTTAATATTTTTTCCACATTCAGTAAAATAATATCGTAGTGGAATAAAAACCAAAAAAAAACCTAAATAGATATTCTATTTGCGTATAATAATTTGACTATTTATAACTTTTAATATACAACATTCTACTGGCATGTATTTTTAATTTAAAAGGAAACTTAAAAAAAATTTATTTAACAAAATGAGAATCGTTAAATTTCCTTTTCTATCTTTACCAAAAATATGAATGTGGGAATTATAAAGGCAAAAAAAAAATTTTATTCACTAGATTTAAATCCGTTTCCGATTCATATGTATATATATAGAGAGATAATAAATTGATACATTTTTTCGTATTCAATTTAAAAATAATGTTATCAATAATATTTTCCATATTAAAAGTAAAAAAAAAATTTTTAAATTTACCACTAAATCTAAATTCATCATCTCAATAAAATTAAAGCATATATATTTGATGCATATGTGATAGATACATCGATATAGTGTTATAAATTCATTATTTTTTATTATATAAAACTAAGCTTTATGAAGTCTACGAATTATTATTAATTAATATATAAAAATAATTTGTCATTGAAATAATAATGTTACGCATAATGTTTTCAATATTAAAAACAAAATGACATAATCTTTGAAACATTCAATTTAAACGTCTAGACATGTGACATATATGATTAATCTAATTATATTCTATTGATCGATTTGAAATGTAGAAATCTCATTAGTCGATAGACTTCATATCAAAATTCTATTCGTATAGTACAAGTGTTTAACGTCTTTAGATATAGATTGTCGCTCAATTTATTTAAATCAAAATATTTAAAAAAAACCTTTTAAATTCATAAAAACTACTCAAATATGTCACAGGTACATTTAAAATAACAATAAATTTAAAGAAAATTCTAAATCGTTTAGATAGAAAATATCGAAACCGTATCAGCTAATACAAATAATGTGTCAAAAATGCATAAAGGAACAATAGTTAAATATTTTCATAAACGTAATTTTGGTTTTATAAAAGTGTAAGTACTAGAAGAAATTAATTTATATAAAAATATCTCAGATAAAAATCCATAAATTTGTGAAATACATTAATAACAAACTATTAAGATAATACGAAAAAAGTCAACATTCAATATTATATTAATAAGAAATAATGTTATTCTTTCATAATAATAGTTTCAATGTTGAAAACAAAGAAAAGAAAGAAATCTTTTTTCATAAATCCAATATCATCAAAAGCAGCTTTAAACCTGAAGTAAAACAAGGTGATAAATGTCAATTTGAAATAAGTCCAGGTATTTAGTTTTTACTTCTCCATGATTAATATACTGTATCATATATATTATAGGAACAAAAGGTGATATTGCTACCAATATAATAATTATTTATCGTCCAATACCTAGAATTCAAAAAAAAACAAAGCCTAGCAATATAACAGAACAAAATAATTTAAATGCAACATTATTTATCAAAACAATGTAAGTCTAAATAGTATAATTTATTTTTATTTATTAATGTCTTTTAGGTTGGAATTTTTTCGTATGGCAACGCATATGAATAAAAAGTAACACTTGTTTGATCAGGCAATAATGAAAAATAATGTTCAATGTCAATTAGTAACACTTGTACTTTTAAAATAGTGTGAAAACACAAATTTTCTTAAAATATCAGTTAAGGCATTTTATTTGTTATTTTCTATACGTTATTTGTTATAATAAAAATTGTTAATATAAAAATATTATTAAAAAAAATTCATATCCATGCTATTTCGTCTTCTATAGTAGTATGTCTATTCAACTTAAGGTCTTTTAATAAAATCATACATATTCTATTTCATACAAATTTTACATGATTGTGTAATTTTACTAATGCATAAGAAATCAAGCTTATATATTAAATAAATGAAATAATAAATCTGAAAGCAGAGAGAAATTTACCGAATGTCCAATAACAATTGTTGCACAAACTAAAAACAATGTACACATGATATCAAATAATTTTAATACATGTCATAATGATAAATGTTAATATTTTTTAAAATTAATTTTCACATCAATACTATATTATTGAAGTCATATGTACAACAAAAAAATATTTTTAATTATCAAAATATTTTATCTAGTATGATTTTTCAATAA